CTTTCTTTCTCCCTCCCTCCCTCCCTCCCTCCCTTCCTTCCTCCCTTCCTCCCTCCCTCCCTCCCTTCCTTTCCTTCCTTCCTTTCCTTCCTTTCCTTCCTTCCACCAGATATGAGTGAGAACATGTGGTATTTCTCTTTCTGTGCCTGTCTTGTTTCATTGAATATAATTTTCTCCAAGCTCATTCGTGTAGCTGCAAATGGCAGAATTTCAAGGAGTATAGATACTTTAAAACTTTTCTGAAACAACCTAAAAAGCCTCATTTCCCTTTTTGAAAGCTGCCGTGAATTTGCTGATATGAAATGAGGAATTGACTTTCAACATATGATTTGCTGGTTATTAGGACTGCTTTCACTGAACCTTCAAATGCAGCAATTTAATTCTAAAACTGTCTTCTGATGTTTCACCTTGTCTTGGGATGATACCCCAAAAGATAGATCTACAACTTTAGGGGTATTTAAAGCTCTTCCATTAATTTCTGGTTGGCAACAGAGGCACAATGAGTGTCTCTTCAAATAAGGTAGTTAAAACCATTTTGATAGCACCAAATTAACTGGATCATTGAGCATTGTATGCTATAATAGAAATCAAATTCAAGGTAGAAATTACTTTTAAGAAACAAAGATAAAAGTAAGGTATGATAAACTAAACAATCTAAAATTATGTCACCCTTTATTTTTAATTTTTTTGAAAAGATGACTGGTAAGGGGATCTTAACCCTTGACTTGGTGTTGTCAGCACCACGCTCAGCCAGTGAGCTAACCGGCCATCCCTATATAGGATCCGAACCCGTGGCCTTGGTGTTATCAGCACCGCACTCTCCCAAGTGAGCCATGGGCCGGCCCTGTCACCATTTAAATCAATGTAGTTTGTTCATTTAAGTAAGAAATAGAGCTTTTTACACAAAGGAAAAATTAACTGATTTTTTAAATTCCAAAACTCTAAGTCGAACTGGATTTATGGTCTCAGAGTTCATTTATGTAGACATTATGATAACTGCTAGAAAAATATTTTATAAAAAAAACTGGGAAGTACTTATTTTGAAAGGCCAGCAACATCTATGTATATTGGCATTACAAGCACGCTTCTCCCCCCCCCCAAATCTGTAGCCAATGACAGTCATTATGATAATATGACAGTAAAACAAGATAACCAATTCCATATGAGTCTGAGTATTAGAAAGTGATGATAGTGGTATGATATAGCAGAATATATAGCAGAATTTTCTCTATGAATTTTAATAAAGCATATAACTTCAGCCATCATTAATCCAGGAGGACCAAAATTCAAAATCAATCTCTGCTCATTTTATTATTTAATTCCTGCACTGAAATCAATTCTCTGTCTGTACTACATATGAAAGTTATGTGTTCTCATAAAGAAGACATCATGTTATCATCTTTATGTCATCATAAAGAGAACATGAAAAGAGCTGGCTGGTTAGCTCTGTTGGTTAGAGTGCGGTGCTATAGCTCCAAGGTCAAGGGTCCAGATCCCTGTGCTGGCCAGCCACCAAAAATAACAAACAAACAAAAAAACCAACAAAGAGAACACACTAATCTAGACTACTTTTATTAAATCCTAACGTGTATAAAATGCATTTGAAGAAAGAATATCGGCTTTCTTTAAATTGTGCTATATTTATATTCCTCTAACCTGAAAAATATACTTGACATTCATATGCCCCAGTGGGTATTAGAAAAAAGAAATGATTGAAATTGTTTTTTAATGTTCACAGCATTACTAAAATTATCACCATTCTTTTTTAAGGGTGAACCAGGAAAACCCGGAGAACAAGGCTTAATGGCAAGTATCTCAATTTACCTTTTCCTATACAAAAGATAACGGGAGTCCAGGTTATTAAAAACTGTGGTCAAGATTATGTTTGACAAATATATGTGTCATGTGGCCTATAACAAAAAAGTGAAAATTAGTAAAATTTTGAAAAGTAATATGGCCTATTCACAACATGCTGAGGGGTCACAAGACTACACATCTACAGAACCAAAGCAGGAGAAAAAGAGGGAGATTCCCAGTGTGCGGAGATGCAGAGGAAGGCGAAAGCAGGGAATTTGGCTGAAGCAGCTCTGCTATAAGGGAGAGTAAAATCAGGGATACGCCTATTGGCTTAAATAGAAATGCATTTTCAAAAGGATCAGGTGTGACCAACTGTGATTTAGCATAGCAAACCTTGCACAGGCATTTTTCTTGTGTTGAAGGGCTCCACCTAGAGAGAAACAGTTGTGCCTTTTGGATCTCTGTCATTAAAAAGAAAGGTCATGAAATGATTCCACATGAACTTGCCCATGGACATCCAGGTCCCAGTACCTCATGACTTGTTTATCCTTTGTCAGTAGAAGAGAAGTTTGGTCAGCTTGCTAAGCCCTGAAGAGTGGAATTCCTTCAACCTGCCTCTTCCCGTCTCTTCCTCTCTGTCTCTCAAGCTGCCCTTCTAACCTACGTTATGATATGAACACTACTGGGAAACAGTAATAGAGTAATTCTCTAGTAACCCAGATTCCAGAGGACAGCTCATACTCATCCTGCATGCAGAATGAGTGGCTCAGAGACTGTGCAGGGCTGGCAGGTGATCCCAGTAAGCTCGATAGTGGACATTCTACATGATGGGTAGAATACAGGTGTTCAGAGTATATATGTTATTTTTAAAAAAAATATTTACTAAGTCCTGGTGAAACTAACACACAGTAGCACAACAGTTGGTCAAGAATTTTAAAAAATGTTTGAATGAGTTAAAAGTCAAAGTCTTCTCCCTGCATGGGATTTCTTCAGGGGATCCTCTGGGGAGAAGCTCACCAACTTAGCTGTAGGGGGAGCTGCCTTGGCAACATCTCTGGTGAAATGAAAGCACCCTGGGACTGAATCTGACCCACAGCCCGGAAAATCCTCTGTTCCTGATCTATAATATCAAGATAGATATTTACACAGATAATTTTTTGGTACTATAATAGATTCTTAAAAATAAAATAAAATGAAAGAAAAAGAAAAAAAAGACCATATGTAAAAATTAAACAAAACAACTGTGTCATTGGTGATAATGTTGCATAGATGTGTAGCAGTAGTTCTCAGTGTTATAAAATCACAGAGTACAAAGGATTCTTGGAAAAATAAAATATATGTTTAGAAATTGCCTTAAACAATTGAATGCACCTGTAATTTCTGTACTAGAAAATGGTCCAAATGCATCCTTTCGTACATTCTTTCATCAAAAGCTACATGGGGTTCTCAAGAGCCCTTGTTTGTCCCCTCAGATTTTTGTCATCAGCATTGGCTCTCTACCCTGACGCACAATGCAGTATCCTAATATGCAATGTTCTAAAATAAAGTGGATATTTTAAAATTATATTATCTTCTTTGAATTTGTATATACTCTCTAGGATATACTATGTAAATAACAACATAATCCCATTTCTCTACAATTCCTAGTTTGACGTCATTAAATTTAAATGTTTGACCTAGTAAATTGTGTTATTAGTGTGCTCCAATTTTCCGTTTCATATGGAAATTTTCTCAGATGAATACTGGGTATTTTTTTCTATAAACCTTTTCTTCTCTCTTTAAACTCTTCAGATTTAGTTCATGTTCTCATTTTTTAAATGCAGCTAAAAAACTTGATTGAAATTATAAATGTTCCAAGACTATGTGTATTTAATGATCTTCTAAAGTGTGTTTAAAAACTACTTCGAAAATTACTGTTTTTGAATATTGTAAGATTTAAAAAGAAAAAATCTATAATATAGGTAAAAAAGTAGACATAGTGGACATCACAGTGACTTTTCACAAAGTAAACATAGTTATGTACAAACCAGATCAAGAGCTAGAATGTTTTCATAAGCCCCCCTTAACTCTCAGTCACCATGCTAAAGTCAACCACTATTCTGACTTCTGTCACCATAGATTAGTTTTGTCTGCACTTGAATTTTATATTAATTGAATCACACAGTATGTACACTGTTGTGTCTGGCTTCCTTTATTCAACATTATATTTGTGAGATCATCCACCTCTGTTTTAATAGCCTTCACAGCTGGTTTAAAAAAAAATAGGAAGAATGTTACTTCCTTGACTACCCTGTTAAAACTACATCACTCAGATAGCAGTAAATGAATGAATGAATGTCTGTCTGACCTTGAGCAAATCACTTAACCTCTCAATTCTCATCTGTAAAGAAAGAATAATACCCTTTCTGCCTGCCTTATAAGGCTGCTGGAGACAAATGCAATAAATTAGGGGAAAGCACTTTAAAATATATAATGAAGAACTATATGAGTATGTTATTATTATTATCATTCAATTGTTCCCTCTATAGTAAATTACAGGTGAGCATAGATTCATATAACAGATGTATTCCTGTAAAGTTTTGTATGAATCAGATTTTCATAAATCAACAATATTTTAAATGTGGTGGGCAATTTTGCCATTTAAAGCAATCCTACTTAGAATCTTTTTGTAAAGCAGTATAATACCCTAATTCCTCTTCCAAGCAAATCAAATACCTATGTTTTATATTTCCTTAACATGAAATATTTCTTTGATGACCTAAAAATTTATTATTTTCTAAAAACTCACTGTTTCTGTTTGTTAACTTAAATAGCACCTGTATATTTAAACCGTCTCAAAGAGAGAAGACCACACTGGAAACATAACAGCAATTTTCATGAGAAGAAAAATTTCCTTAGAAATTTTCTTTTGAACGTTATGTGGGGATATGTGTGTTTTAACTCAAAGTCTGGTAGGGCAAAAAGTACATTGTACCAGTAGTTCTGGTCTCGGAACTATTTATTTATATGCGTATTGTCTGTGATCCTTTTTACTGACCTACAAAATGTAGATAATAATTCCTATTCTACCTATATCCCTGGGTTATGGTGAGAAGCAAGTGAAATAATATGAATCACAAAGAGTTCCATAAACGAGAAGTATTACTGTTAAAATAAGTGTCGAGTGACATATCACCCAACATACATACAGAGTGACATACAGAAAGACTGCTCTGTGTAAGGTAAGGGCTAAGAATAGTTGAACAATAGCTATCAGTTAAATTACAGTATCTCAAACATTGCAATTGAGAGTGTGATTTATTGCTTTTCTCCTATCTGTTGTTGTTTTGGCCTTCTTTTCCTGTATATCACATCATCTTACATTACCTATTATTCAGTATATGCCCCATCTCACCCACTGATTAAAACAAAGACAAGAGAATAAATACCGCTGTTCTCATCTTCTCCACATTATGTAAAACCCATTACATTTGTTGGTTTGTGTTGTGGAAGAGCACTTGCTTACATGAGGGCCTTCAGAGGCACTGCAAAATTTTTGTAAATTTAAAAATGTGTCTGATGATGAAATGAAGAAGCTAGAAACAATCTAAAATTAGCTCTTACAAAACTTTCTGAGTGTGTCAGGTAGGTCATTGGTTTTTATAATCCAAGATGTATCATTTATATTGCAAAAATTATCATCCAAAGTTAACAGCATCTATGATAGAATAAAAAAGAAAACCTGCAGCTCGAGCAGTTGATTTAATCCTGCTGTGCATCTATTCTGTAAACACGACCCTTTGGGTTTTCCAAGTTCAGGATGAGATTTTAAAAGACAGAATCTTGAGCTTAAATAAATCTGACTCCATCTAAATAAGGAGAGAACTGCTCTATCTGGTAAAACTAGGCCCAAGAATAAAACCAAGGACTGACCACAGTTGGAAGTGCTCAAGTTCTGAACCCTACCACAGTGATCTTTATCTTTTAGTTCTGAGAAATTTAAATAGTTGTTAAAATAGTATTTTTGAAGGTGTTTTTTCTTTTGATACTCTATTTCTATCTTTGACCAATGCAGTAAAAGTTCTCAGAAGCATAAGAGATGGATGGTATTTTAAAAAAATACAAACTAGTCCCAGTTTCCTGGAGAGAGAGAGAGAGAGAGAGAGAGAGAGAGAGATTTTTTTTGGTCCAAAGTGTCTGTATCCAAGGTTTTATAGACCATTCATTTTTCCTATTCTGAAATGCTTTATTCTTTCCTTTCCCTTTCCCAAAACATATGTAAATTCCATAACATATCCACTGATCTCTTTGAATTATAAGAACACCTAAAATGTTACTTATTGGGCCCCAGTGGTATCTGAAAGTTCCAAACTCAGAAAAATTTTGCTCTTATTCTTTAAAGTGAAATTTGGACTTGTGTCTGAAGAGTTTATAAATATATTTAGTTTATTTTCATTTTGACTGCAAACACATTTAATATATTTTGGTCAAGTGAATATGATGCTTTTTATGTTACTTAGTAACATTAGCATAAATAATTGCTTCTGCTTTATTTGAAGTAAAATTGAAATAACCAACGTGTGAAAATTTACTTTAAATGTATTCAGTTATAATGCACTGTTATCCTAGAGATTTGATAAAACTCATTTTCTTAATTGTACTTTGATCTGCCTGCTATCTTGATCAGCAGACAGCAGACTTTTCTTCCTGACTTTGATCTAACAAAGAAAGCAAAACCCCAAACCTTCAAAACACAAATAACAAAAATAACCAAAATCATCTTAGTGCAGTTAGTTATTAGACTTGATTTTATCAATGAAATCCTGCTTGGTAAAATTGCGTATACTTCAGCGGTGCACTCTGCCTGCTGAGATGTCTCAGCAACCATTCTGATGCTTTATTATCCTTCTTAATCTCATTGCCATGAAATACATATAAATGCGACACCTATAGAGCTCTGCCCACCTCCCTGGTGCTTTTGTCCAGAGCCTGTAATGCTTTGTTTTCTAAATGGACAGAGAAAGTAGACA